AATGTTTTGTTAAATTAGAGGCTACCAAATTTAAAAAATCTGCCCATTGAAATAGTGCTTGAGAAATTGTACAATGCTAATTATACACTTCTTACTTGTGAACATGTTCAAACAGCATTTCATCATGAGGATTGGGATTTAATCACTAAGAAAAGGCAGTTTTGGAGAAGAGGAGGGAGAAACTTTTTATTGTTAATGACGGTCTGGTTGTTCCTTGAGAGAACATGACTGCTGCTGCAGACAGCGGTGACTCACGGGAGAGAAAAAGAAGGGCTGGCTGTCCTGCATTTTGCTGCCCCTTTCATGTCTTTTGATGTGAAAACAAGAGAGAAAAGTTCAAAGAAAGAGCCAACACGATTCAAAAGGTGCCGGTGTCTGAATTTCTGATGGAGGAGTCGGTTTGCTAAAAATTTCCTGATTTCGTCAACTTTTTCTTTGAGGATGGGCTCTGTTTGGGTGGGGTGGGGGGGTCTGGTGCCGTTTTGCATTCTGAGTATGGCTGATGAGTCGCGCCTCGGTGCCAGACTTTTCCTGCCAGATTGTACATCCCCTCGGAGAGTGCACAGACTTTTTGAAGGTCTGTATTTTCCTCAGACTGTTTCATTCAGTATGTTATGATGCGGGAACAGGAGGGTAGCCATGTGTAGAGATACAGGCACTTTACTCTCCCAGACAGCTGCTGGAATGAGTGTGAATCTATCAGCCAGTCATCTGTGCTATGCCTCTGCCCACTCCCCCCCCCCACCCCCACCCCCCACCCCCCCCCCCACACACACACACACACACCCCATCACCACCATCATCCCCACCCACCACGGAGAATTAATGACTGCCTCTCCTCATTTGCACCCAATCATGACCAGGATGCCGAGGCAATTGAAAATGTTTACTTCAATTGCGAAAACCCTCCATGTTCCACAAAGTGGCCTGTTTTCACTTTGATGGGATTGCTAATCACAGCAACGTTATTTATGTGTGTTTTGAATTGGAGATGAGCCTAGGCTGGGATGTTGGAGGGGGACCAACCTTGCTTGGGGGCTGCTAAACCTTATGGAGAATTTATCTTTTCCGTTCCTTTTCTCTCAGTCCAGCAGATTGGGAGCAGACTAACCTTGCTTTGAGGCTGCTCTGTGTTGCTGTTTTGACTGCCAAATATATTGCTCTTAGTGTGATGAAATGAAATAGACATCAAAACTTTTTTTTTTATATTGCTTTCCGCCTCATCTTTTGCAGTATTTATTGCAAATGCTGAGGAATGTGAACTGAGAATGACTGCCTGCTTTTCCAAATATTTTGTTTGAGAAGCAATGAAATGATGCAGCCTATGTGTAGCGCTCACATTCACTTATAGAGGCCGTTTGGGGTTACTAAAAAAAAAGTACTAGGGACAAGAAAAGTTCTGACTTTCCCTCAGAATTTTTACTCTAATGCAGAAAAACACCTGGAAGCAACTGGGAGCAACAAAGTTTGATGACAGAGATGTGAGATGTTTAGCAGGACAGCAAATTTTCTGGAGGAATATTTTGGATGGATTTGAGAGACTTTTTATGAGGCCAAATGGGGTCCCTGAAGAGAAGTAAATGGTTTCAGCCAGAAATCAGAGATTACAGTCAGATTTAGGATTGGTTTTGTTGACTAAAACTTAGAGCTGACTCAGACAGGTTTTAAAAATTTCTGGGTGATTTTTAAAACTCAAGAGGGGCCACAGATGATGATAATAAAATCAGGAATAAAACTCTGGTTGTACATTGTGTTGTTTTCAGGCACATGACATCAAACAAGCACACATGAGATGATCATTTAGAACATTTAGTTTTCACATGGAAAATTTCACCATGCCTCCAAGCGGTAAATGTATACTGCAAAAATAATTAAATCTAAATAAGTCGTTATTTTCCTTGATGGGTCCTTGACCGGTCCTTGGCTGGTCCCCTACAATTCCTTTTTAAAAATCAATATTTGTACTAAAATATTGTTTCTGTCATGATTTGTAGACATTAAGGTCCAAAGAGAAACTGGAAAGGGACATGTTGAATGGCTGTTACTGTAATTTAAGAAATGTTTACTCATTTCTAGATTGTTTTTGCTGTGTTAAAATGTATATGATTTCAATTACTGTTCGAGGAACTGATGGATCTATATTAAGATTAGAGTCCTGCAGCTGGTCTGGTATTGCAGGTACCCACAGTAAACTTTCAGCTACTGGTAGGAAATTAAAGTATTATTTCATGGTGACGAGTATAAATAAAGAAAAAGGGGGGTAGCTCAAATTGAGTTTCAATATAAACAAAAGTCATTATTTAAATTTAGCTATTTATTAACTCTAAATCTTAATGAGTTCATTAAAATATGACCAGATAATGTCAATTTTCATTAAGCATGAAAAGCAGAGGGCCTACACTAAAGTGAAGACACCCAAGGGGAATACTGTATTTAGGATGTTTTGTTGTGGTGGAAAGATCAGGCAAAAATGTTCCTGACCCTAACACTGCTAACTCACAATGTGCTTACTATCCTGACATTAAATTCAGCTTGTGAAAGAGACTTTTCATATGCTGGGTTTGTGATTAAGGAAAGGGAAAGCATATTAATGTAGCTGCAGTGATTGTGGATAATATTCTTTTTCTATTAAGCAAATTTAAAATTTGAAAAAGCAAGGCCTGAATATCAGTGAGTAAACGCATAAATAAGATAAATAAATTCATTTGAGTAAAAGCTTGTGAAATACAATGTTGGATAAGTAAGTAATAAATTTAATCCTTATTCAGATTTTTATTTGTTTAATTCAATATAAAATGGAACACTTATTTCAAAAGAGGCTTATTTTGATTATGTATGCCAGTTTCAGTGTGTACCTGCTGACACCGATCTGACACAGCACACTAATATTCAAGAAAGACACTTAGGAACGTTAAAAGGTAACATTTTGAAATCATATACACAAATGTATATATCTATAGCTGTTTGGCAAAATTCTGATTGAAAGTGAGTAAAGCACCCATCATGTGATTAGAGACAACACACTGTATCACTGGGCATGAAATGGTTTTATTCTATCATTGTTATTGTAAGTGTTATATTATCTATTTCATGTTAAATGAACCATTTCTCAAGCAAAACTCTGTGTTTCTATTTTATGTGAGTCAAATTTGAACCTGTACAATTCTGTATTACAAATACTGACCAAAGCTGGGTCACATGTGTGTATCTAGTGACTGTTGTATTGTACCTGTGATCCAGATTTGTTCTAGACCCACGATCCTATTTGTTTTGGGCAGTTGTACAAAAAGATCCCGTCCCAAGGTCAGTTTAAGCTGTTCATGCATGATGGATCCTCTGTATTTGGTCCGAGATGGCCTGACCCTCTGTTACTTTTGCCTATCAGGGTATACATGCATACATGCTGAGTAATAATTGGTTAAACATCCTTGAGTGCATGGCAGACTTCTTAAAATGATTCTGGTGTAATTCTGACTCAATATTCGACTGCTCCTTATATTCTTCCTAACAGTTACACTGGTAGAAGGATGGACAGCGCTGGTTTGCTTCATATTCTGGCTGTGTTTATTTGAACAGTATGTGAATTCAGTTTATTTTGTTTGTGCTCATGTGCTTAATTTCTTATAAAATCTAATTTATTAATAAACATTACTGAAAAGTGTGAGAAGCCTATGATCCCTAAGAAACAATTACATTTAGTTTGCTTGTAAACCAAAAGCAGATTATTTAAATAGATTTGCTTATTATTATTATTATTTGCTCAACATTCCAAAATTGCATCATCAAATTAAAACACATTAAAAACAAATGTCATTAATATAAATGAATTAAAGTCTATTATGGGGTTACAGTAAACTTTTAATTACCTACGTTGTGTTTTCTGACTGTTTTTTTTTTTTTGTGTAGTTTTTTTTAACCTATTTTCCTTCTTTTGTGTGCTGGCAGAGAAACTGAATAAAATGGGTAGTTCATTGCATCAGACAGGTCTGAGGAGCTTTTCTCCACAGGAGGTTAATTTCTTATTGCTCGGCGCGTTTGCAGAGTTCATTTTGGATCATGTTAGTTTGACTGTCTATTCCCATTATCACTATCGGAAAATGCAGGCATTTCTTCCCCCTCCTCCACTTTGTAAATGTCAGAATGCAATAGAGGTGTCTGACAACTCAGGCATGCAAATGTGCTTTTGATGTTTTTCTTTTTTTGTTGGGGGGGGCACTAGGAGTGTTGTTTCTTTGCTGGTGGGAATCTAAGGCATTAAATACACGTCCTCTACCTTTTTTTCCTTCTCTTCTGCCAAATAAATATAGGACAAGGTGACTTTTGACTCCCTTCCTCTTTCTTACTGAAGACAGGGGAAACAAAGCCAGGCTTTTTGTGTTGGGGCTTAGCGTGGTGTAAGTTATGATGACAAGGTCCAAAGTCTGTCAGAGGCAACAATGCCAGTGTGCACACAGTGACTCAGATGCTTGTATAGCTGGAGATAGGGAACAGAATCACTGAGTACACTGAGCACACACTGGTCACACCGAGCCTCAGATGGAGAGCTCTGATAAAGCTTAACCAGAAACAGCACTCTCCTCTGCTCCGGGTTTAACTCTCCCCATCTTTCTCACCTCCACCACCCCGCCCATATCTGCCAGTTTCCACTTTCTTACACTTGTTCTTTGTCCTTTTTTATTTTTTTCTTCATCTCCTCTCTCTGCATCTTTGTGGGCAGCAGAGCTTACAGCCCATCTGGCATTCACTCGAAGGGCCTACTCTGAGCTGCGGGGGGAGATCAATAGTGACAAACACTGCACATGGCTCTTATATTAAAAGGATTAGACATGGCTGCAAACTGACTATCTACATAGTCTCTTTGCATATCTTTGCTCTGTCCGTTGACATGAGGAAAAAACAAAATCTGAAGTATTTAATAGACTCTTAATATCCAGTCAAGAATGTTTGTTTTATGTTGGAAGTATCATCAACTTTTTTTTTTTTTTTTTTTTGCTTTTTAGTTGACAGCCAGAACCTGGCAACGGATAACGTGACCGTGATTGAGGGGGAAACTGCCACCATCAGCTGCCGTGTGAGGGACAACGACGACTCCGTCATCCAGCTGCTGAACCCAAACAGACAGACCATCTACTTCAGAGATGTTAGACGTAAGTGCTCCTGCCTGAGATACAAAGCTATTCACCATTCCCGGAGTTTTAAAATGCACAGTCATGCCCCCTTTTACAGTAACTGAGGGAAATATTGTTTGCCACAACAAAAGGGATAGAGTAAGTGGAAATCCAATTTTCTTCAATTCTGGCTGCCTACACAGGTTTGATTTCTGCCTCAAACCAGGAATATTTCTTTCAGAACTTTAAGAAAAAAGTTGTTTTATGTTTCTTCCTCAAATAGTTTCTTTTATTCTCAGCTTTTCTGACAGCTGTGAGGAATCTTTGTTCCTTTTTAGAGTTAACTTTAAGAACTAACTTTAGGAAGTCAGAGAAAAAGGAAAGAAAAAGTCTGCAGGCAGCAGCGTTGGGACCATTACAAGCCTAACACATTGCCACACTGTTATGCACTCCTTTCCTGCATTTGAGTTTATTAACCAGGATTTAAGTATGTGTATCAGACTCTTTACAACTTTTTCTTTTTCAAATGTCTTCAGTTTTTTAGCTCACTGTACTTTTATATCAATATCCTAATTGAAGAGATATCTAAAAAAAATATATTCTGCAAAGCATGCAGCTAAATCGACCATAGTGATGGTATTACACAAACACCAAATTAGAGCAAATGTCAAAACCAAAGGCCACCCAAGTTGGAAATAGTGCAAAGTCTTTAGATCCAACGCATGTTCAAATGGGAAAGAATTATATAGTAATTTATTTTGTAAGAGTGGGAACTCGATACAAATGTGGTCTGAGAGCAGAAGTTTGGAAATCTAACAGAACAACATCGTACCCATGGATTAAAAAATAAAACATGAGTCTGGCATGCCTGTTATTTACCAGATGGACAAACTGGAGCTTTCTTCTTTTGTTCTGAAACAGGGTTTTATAATAAGTGTTTCCAATATTGACCTAATTTAAAATATTTTTATTTTCATAGACTGGCATTTTCTTATAAGCCATGATCAATAAAATTACAAGAAATAAAGGCTTGATATATTTTACTCTATAAAAGCACTTCCCTTATTGGAAACATATAAACTTTTCATAATATTAAAATTTTTGAGATGTACCTGTATGTCACTAAAATACATCTAGGTATTACTAGGCCAAGTCCCCAGTGCTAAAACACATAATAAAAGAATGGATGCAGCCAAAAAGTTTCACTTTCCTTCTCATAATCAGTCTGTGTCCTATTTCACAGGGTTTAACTCAACTACACTGATGTTCATTAACAATATTGCATTTTTCATCTGTCATCTTAGTCCAGCTCTGTAAATGTATCTACAGTTAACAGCATGCAGTGAAAAATGTCTTCAAACAGATTTTATACTCAAGCCTTGGCTATACATTCATTTTTCCTTTCTATTAGGAAGGGAGCCACTGATAGTGAGCAACTGTCTTGCAATTTTTTGATCTTTCCCTTTTATCCCTATTAACATATTTTTTGTGACAAATAATCATCAGTAAAAACTATAGAACCAAAATTTAAAAAGAATAGGCTCACTCAGACAAATGGTGCAATTAGAAAAAATTTATTCAGTGTAATTATTTGCAAGTTACACGGTCGGATTGGTTAAGATTTACTATTTAAGGAAAACCAGCTGATTGCATTGACTCATTGCCTCTTCTGCAATCCCTCACACAGAGCATGCTTGTGGCAACAGTGGAGAGGAAAACTCCCTTTTAAAAGGAAGAAACCTCCAGCAAATCCAGGCTCAGAGTGAGCGGCCATCGGCCAACTGGGGTTCAAGGAGACAAAAGCAGATATTGACATAATGAGAAGCAAGCTTTGCAAGCTTCTTTTTGACTGAACCTGATCATTGTGATTAAAAATATGCAATGACAGTGCAATGACAGTGCAAGTAGACACAACTTCCCCCAGCCCCCATGCCATCTCTAAAATGAATCCACCACACCAGACCAACTGCTTTGACATTACTACCTGCGATTGGGCCCTGGAATGATCCATAAAGATACAACAGAATACAGTAGTTCAGAGGCTTTTTCCACCCAAATAAAATTGCACAACAGATGACATGGCTCTGATATTTACATTTTTGATTGTACAAAAATTTTGACATGTGTATTTAGCTTGATTTTATTATTAGTATATGTTCTTCTTTTTTCATTCAGGCAAACACATTACATTTTTGCACCTGCTGTTATGTTCATTTTATTGTTAAAAATATATCTATGTTTTGTCAAGAAAATCTTCGCCTTCTCTGTTTAGATTTGAGAACACCACTCTGCTCTTTCTAACTGTATGCTGCAGCCAATCATACAAATATATGTATATTACGGAAAAAAATTTCAGTTATTTTCCTATTTGAAATATCGTTGTGAAGGTTAGTTGTTATTTTTTTCGTATTTCATATTTCCAAGATTTTTGTATTTTAGGTTTCTGACTATTATTCTGAAGAAAAAAACTACAAAACATTCTATTCCTTAAACATTACAACATAAATATAAATATTGCTGATTAGAACAGACAAATTATCAAACATCCCAAAAAATTTATATTATGATAAGAAAGTCTGTAGCTTAATTATAATTTTTTTCATATGTAATTCATATATATACAATTTTCATATACATTTTATTTATTTTAACTACTGTCCATCCATTCATCCATCTTCTGCTACTTATCTGTTATGGGAGTATCTGCATTCTGTCACCACTAGTAGTTTATGGACGAAAGGTGCACCCTTAATAGTGTGCTAGAACATGGCAGCTTTGGTTACCGTATTTTCACGACCATAAGGCGCACCGTATTAAAAGGCGCAGTCTCAGTTATGTGTCCCATTTCTGTATTTAACACACACATAAGGCGCACCGGACTATAGGGCGCACCGGACTATAGGGCGCGTTTTTTATATACAGGTGCATGTCCTCTACTACCTTTAAATACCTCTACTGCGTATTTAAAAATACAGCGGGGGCAAAACTGAGTATGACTGTGCTTTATTCATGTATTTATTACAAAGTATTAATCAAGCCTGGCAGCTGGCCGTGAGACAGACACATCGCAGATGACACAGCGCTGTGGTCACTCCTAAATTAACTTAAAATCCTGAAACCTGCCGACGGAATATGTTCGCTTTTATGGGTGCCTGCAGTTTAAATTATTTAGATGAAAAACACCTGCCATCCACCGCATGAACCCGGAGGCTGCCCAGCCTAGAGGCTGCTGATGAAGGGATTTCTGCTGTCGGTGCACCGCTGGTATGTGGGGGTCTGAGCGCCTCCGACAGAAATAGATAATCTGGATGAACTGACTGCAATTATTACGTTTTCAGGTGGACTTTCTCACTTAAAAACATATTAAAACTACTTTATTCCCACTGATCACAGCAAATATAGCTGCAAGATTTAGATTGTTTAGATGAAAAAACACCTGCCAGCCACCGTGGTGAAGAGGAGGAGACCCGCCCAGAGGCTGCTGTTGAATTAAGTTTTCAGGTAGAAAAATAGAGCGGGAGCAAAACTGAGTATGATTGTGCTTTATTCATGTATTTATTACAAAGTATTAATCAAACCCATCAAAGTCATCATCCTCTGTTTCTGAATAAAACAGCTGCACTAAATCAGACATGCCAGTTTCCCCTTCTTCGCTGTCAGTCACTTTCCGTGCAGCGCAGCTCCTCAGAAATAATGCCGGCTTTTGCAAAAGCTTGAACAACAGAGCCAGCAGACACGTTAGTCCAAGCATCTACAATCCATCCGCAAACGGTGCCGTAACTTGCCTGGCGCTGCCTTCCACTTATCGCAGCCTTACTTTGAACGGCCGCTTCACACTGATGTCGAGCAGTTGAAGCTCCTTTGTCAGACCCCCCGGGATAACGGTGAGCACAGTATCCATTTGATTCACCTTTTTTTTCACATCGGCTGTGAGATGGGCACGCAGCGATGGTGATGCGTGGAAAAAACCACCTGGTCTCCTCACATAGGCTACACCTCCCTCAGCTACGCTTTCATCATCTCCTCATCCATCCAGCCTTTTCCATTTGCGTTATGTCATCAGAGCGCTGTGTCTGTCTCGCTGTCAGCTCCCAGATCAGCTTCTCTGATTGGTTGATGCGGCGCGTCCAGCAGCAAAACTTCAATTTTTCCATCTCGAGCAGCAGCAGCGCGTTGGCAGATGCTTAAACGCTCCTGCTGCTCAAAACGCGCTGCAGGACCTTTTGCTGCACCTATACGCACGTCAACCATTTACTTTGCATGTAAACTCGCTGCTTGTGCTGCACTTGCTGGGTCCGGTTCACACCGATGTCGAGCGGTTAAACAGCGAGCACAGGGTTAATTTGTTTCCCCATGTTTTTCACATCAGCTGTGAGATTGGCACGCATGGAGTTACATATTAACAGCGATGGTGATGAGAGGAAAAAAAAAACACCTGGTCTCCTTACATTCAGCCACTCTTTCATCATCTCCTCAATGAGGTGGTCTCAAAAGTCACAGTTACAACACACATAGGGCGCACTGCACATTTTGAGGGGAAAAAAAGACGTTTAAGTGCGCCTTATAGTCGTGAAAATACGGTACTTGAAATGAAGCCTAGGCGGAAGTTCAACTGAAGAAACTCATTGCTCTCTTACATCCACCTGCGACACAGCCAATCAGCTTTGAACCACACCTCCACTAAAGCCAATCGGCATCCAAAGATCATCTTAAAATGCCTCCGATACGAACTTGTCTGCTCCTGTACACAGGCGGCGGATGCGCTGTGACTTCATTCAGATGACACAGTTTCAACCCACCTCCAGTCCCTCCTCCACCATCGTAGCTAAAGCTTCATCAGAGTATCACTCCTCCTGGACTCTTACTGCATTCCCTGTCTCATCTCAACCGGTCTGGCAGAAGACCGCCATGTTGAGCCTGGTTCTGCCAGAGGTTTCTTCCCATTGGGGAGTTTTTCCTTTCCACTGTCGCTTCATACTTGCTCATCATGGACAGGTTCTCTCAACCTGTGATATCCAACTGGACTTCCATCTTCCAGG